ACCATATGACCTGGCAATTCCACTCTTAGTATTTACCCAAAGGACACAGAAACATTAATTCAAAAGAGCACCTGCACCCCTATGTTTATAGCAGCACTATTTACAATAGCTAAGCTATGGGAACAACCCAAATGCCCAAAAATAGATGATTGGATTAAGAAGACATGGTACATATACAGAATGGAATATTACTCAGCAATTAAAAAAGATAAACTCATGTAATTTGCAGTAACATGGATGGAACTGGAAGGGATCATGCTTAGTGAAATAAGCCAGAAAGAAAAATACCAGATGGTCTCACTCCTAGCAGGAATTCAGAAAATCTAAATAAGGGATCAGGAAAAAGAATAATTATAATAAAGTAAAAATCAAAATCAACAGGCATCTACAAACCATAGACACACTGTGGGGGGAGGGGTGGTGGGAATTGTATGGAGACTATAGGGTAGTGGGAGTTGTATGGAGACTATAACAAGGGTGGTGGGAATTGTATGGAGACTATAACCAAGATGAAAATGCATACACTGTACAAAAGTGAAAAATGATGTAAAAAATACACAAAATTAAAAAAATAAGAAAAAAAAGAAAATCTGCAAAAGGTGATTTACTTAAGATTTATAAAAATAAACATGTTGAATATAAAAAAAAAGAATTTGGGTAGGGAAGGATCTAGGGGCAGTTCAATGCTGACTGAAGCTCTTTAGGAGCCAAGAGAATCCAAACTTCTTTGCTTGTCTCCTCTCTTCTTAAGAATGGTGACAACACAACACTAATTTCTCCCCTAGTCATAAAGCAAGTTTAAATACCTACAGTTCCTGCCCCAGTAATCAAGTCTAGAATCACACAGAGCAGCACATCATAGCTATGCCACCTCATCCCACTCCTACAAAGGCGTGGAGAATGTTGCTGACCCAGCGTGGCCAAGTCAAGCTCTATTTTGGATATTCAAACCACAGCTGAGCTTTCTTGGGAAGGGGTGGAGGGCCAAGATACACACCCAGTCATCTCTTGGAAACTCACATGGTAAAACATGGTCAACTAGATGTGTTTTGTCCTCAGAGTTTGCAGCTGATCCTTTCCTTACCTGTTGCATTTTTTTTCTCACAACAACTCCATTTCCACTCTGCAAGCACACTTCCTCCCACATTAAAATAGCTTTCAAATCACCAAAAGTCCTTTCGAACATGTAAATCACAGGTCACTTTATAAGTATTTACATATTAATTTGTCTTTCCATGTAAAATGAAGGCTTTATCCCTGGTGAAAAGTTTTTTTGGTACATTAGCAAGATTAGAGTGGCAATAAGAGCAGAGCTGGGGCCTCCCTGGTGGCGCAAGGGGTTAAGATGCAACCTATGAAGCTGCCCCCAGCCACTGAAACAAGATTTCAATCCCTGGCCAGGGAGATACCCACATGGCGCAGCACACCTCTCCTGACTCGCCTGCTGCTCCCATCAGCAGTGTGCTTCGGTCGATTTGCCTGTTCTGTTCCCCACTCTGTCTCTGGTGAATTCTCTCACCCCCTACACCTCTGGCATGTACCCCAGTTCTTGTATGCATAAATAAATAAATCATTAAAAAAAAAAGAGCAGAGCCCCTTTCCATGGTCCTTGGAGAATAGCATCTTGGGAGTAGCTGAAGAAGTCTTGGTTATGACGCAGTAACCTAGGCATTATTGAGAGCAGATATGATCTGTAAGGAAAGGGTAAGCAGGCACTTAAAGGAATTAAATTCTTTTTATTTTTTTTTATTTTTATTTTTATTTTTTTTTTTTGATAGAGGCATGCTTTATTTATTTGTTTGCTGGTTTGTTTGTTTGTTTTGTTTATACATGCACTGGGTACAGTCAGAAGCGCGGGAGGGTGAGAGAATTCACCAGAGCCAGAGCGGGGAGCAGAGCAGACAGAAGGACCGAAGGACACTGCTGAGGGGAGCAGCGGGCGGCAGGAGAGGTCTGCGCGCCATGTGGGACCCTCCTCCAGTGGCCGGGGAGCAGCCAGGGATCGAACCGGCGCCGCAGAGGCCGCGGGCAGCTTGGCAACCCAGCGCTCAACCGCTGCGCCACCGGGGAGGCCCAGGAATTAAATTCTTATATAAACAAAATTTGTCTTTGATTCCCCTTCCCATCCCCTACCCTCCCCAACTCTCTTAAAGATTAATCTCTCTGACCTGGACTCTAGTACTCAGCAGTCTCTCCTGGGGGATACCAGTATAACCCATCATCCAATCTGGAGCCCCGCCTGCATGCAATCTTTGTTCTTCAGGCCAACCCCTCTCTCCCTTTCCGATTCATCAAAATTTGTCCTGTGTCCTATTCTGTCGCTGCTAGCTGTGGTAAAGTATAATTTGATCATTAGTGTTAATAGAATTCTGGAATTTATGATGGAGAGATTACCTGAAGTGAAATTCTAACATTGGGAATCTCAGCTTCTTGGAAAGGTGGATGCTATTTGGTGATGAAGTCTGTAAGATTAAGAAGTTGTAAGTAACCCTCATGCCAGTCTCTAAGTATTTTCAGTACTTTCAAAGGGTGCAGAGTTAGAACTTGTCAGAGATGTAGACAAAGAGGCCTGGCCCTGGTCTGAAGGAGTGTGAGGCCAAGCAGGGTGGGATGGCAGCCAAGCACTTGCATCCACCACTTGAAATTGTAATCTTATTTAATCACGGTAGGCATCATCATTTGACTTTGAGAAAACAGGTTCAGAAACACAAACTACTTTTCCCAGGAGCGAGTGGCAGAGTGAGAGTTTAGATTCAGAGCATGTCCGGCTCTGAAGCTTATGTTCTTTGCAGCATTCCATACCATACTATTATGGACACAGAAACCCAGAGGGAGAGATGGAGAGTGTGAGAGATGGAGTTAGGAGGGGATGAACCCAGAGGCTAAGAAAGCAGCTATGAAAGCTGAAAGTGAGGCTGCTGTGATAGATCTTTCTAGGTAGGATGACCAGTTTAAGGCTCACTCGGAAGTAGGTATGGAAATACGCTGAAGGCCAAAAGGGGAAAACCTCATTTAGAGACTAGAAATGACTCCTGTGGATGCCTTCTCTACCTCATCTTGATTTGGCTGAGGGACAGGGAGGGCTTCCCTCTAATGCCAGGAGCTCAGAGGACAGGTCTTCCCCAGAACCTGACCTGGAGCTGCTGCCTTAAGATGGGTGTTCAGTGTCCCCAAGGCCGGGAGCCCTTCTCAGAAGTCCCTGGAGTTTCTGGGGAGGCGGGGAAGGGAACCAGGTGGTTCTCCCTTCCCTTTTTGGAATCCTGGTCAGTTTCAATTTACATAAAATAGTTTAATCCATAGAAACAGGAGCCGGGAGGCAGGTCTTTCTCTTTTTTTCCTCTCTAAGACACGGAAACCTTTATTTTCTCCCTATACCACAAACTGGTACTGTTAAATAATATTGGATAATTGCACCTGTCGTACTCCCCATATTGTGCTGAGGAAAAATAATTGCTAGTTTTCTGCTTTGCAGTTTAGCTGTGACTCTGTCATTTGACTTGGAGCATGTCATTTTCTCCCATTTTAGACTGTGTACAGTCAAACTATGTGAAAGGACTCACGGATAGCGGCCCTGCGTGTGTGAGTGGGCGCGGGCCTCATTCAGCGATGATTTCTAATTTATACAGCATTGAAAATCCACAGCTATAAATAAACACTTCTCACTGGCTTTGCTGCCTACTCAAGTGCTTTGTTAAAAAAAAGGTACCACCAACTAAATGGGAAAGGAAAACAGTGTCTCCATGTGGATGCTGGTTTCTGCTGCTTGGGCCTGGGGGTGGGGGCCCCGAGACTTAGGATGGGCTTGGGGCTCTGCCAGCCAGCCCCTGGAGGCATGCCCCACTCTCTCGCTCAACCCCCTCATGCTTCCCACACGCAGGGCAACGCATTTGGGGATTACAGTGTATGAAATTGACTTCCTGTTATGGCAAGTATTGCAAGCTAGTAGGTGCAGAAGGGCTGAAAATAGCTTGAGAAATGCCTGACCCTTTGTGGGGGTGGGAGTGGGGGTAGTGAATTGTTTAGGCAAACAAGTCTTTTCTCCAAATACAGATGGTACATAGAGATACACCTTCAGAACACAAGCACAGGTAGGAACCAGCCCAGCCCTGAGGCGGTGCGGCTAAAGTGTGAGAGTTTCCCCAGACTGCCTTCTTTTATCTGACCTTACAGATGTCATACATTTTTAAAAAAAAAATATATTTATTTTTTTATTTTATATATATTTTACATCATTCTTGTACAATGTATGCTTTCTCCTCTCAGGTGTAGTCCCCATGGAATTCCCACCACCAGTTTACCTGTGCACCTTCGCCATAGTCCCCTGTGCTCTTCCCTCCCCTGTTTTGATCCTTCTGCTTCCTCTCGCCTGCAGAGGGGAGAGTCTGATTTATAGTTGTCTGTTGATTTTGATTTTTAATTTTGTGTGATTTTTTTCACTTTCCTCCCTTATTTGTTTCTTCTACATTTCTCCTATAAGTGAAACCATTGGATATTTTTCTTTTTCTTTCTGACTCATTTCACTGAGCATAATCCCTTCCAGCTCCATCCATGTTGCTGCGAATGGCATGAGTTTATCCAGCAATTCCACTCCTTGGGATCTACCCAAAGGACCCACACATATTAATTCACCTGCACCCCTATGTTTATAGCAGCACTATTACAATAGCTAAGCTATGGAAACAACCCAAATGCCCCAAAATAGATGACTGGATCAAGAAGATGTGTTATATATACACAATGGAATATTACTCAGCAATCATTTTTGTTTTTTTAAATAAAGACTTTCAGATTACCAGTTACTTAGTTGCTCTATTACAAAGAGGAACAAAAGGAGGTTTTGGGAATCAACCCTCTGTGTGGCCTTTGAGCCGGTCATTTCCCTCCTCTGAATCCAGCGTTGTGCTGAGCAGCTGTGGTATCTCTTCCCAACTGTACTTTCAGTGACATGTGGGTGGGGTGCTTACACATTGCAACAAGCAAACAGCGCAAGTCAGGGCCTTAGCATCTGTTTTTATTCCCAAAGACTTGGTTCTTACATATTTTCCAACAAAACATCAGAAACTCAGTTTACTCATTTGTAAAATGAAGACATACAGATATCTTATATGATTTTTTTTAAAGATTCATTTATCTATGCATACAAGAACTGGGGTACAGGCCAGAGGTATGGGGGGGTGAGAGGATTCACCAGAGACAGAGTGGGGAACAGAACAGGCAGACTGACTGAAATACACTGCTGAGGGGAGCAGTGGGCGAGTCAGGAGAGGTCTGCTGCGCCATGTTGTTACCTCCCTGGCTGGCCGGGGATTGAACTTGAGCTGCAGAGGCTGTGAATTGCTTCATAGTGTGGTGCTTAACCCCTTGCGCCACCAGGAAGGTCCCACTTATATGATTTTTTGAAGATAAAATGAGATGGTGGAGGCGAGTGTGTTTGTAAGAGGCATGACACTAGAAATCTCATTACCAGTTTTTTCATCATTTGTTTTGTATGAGGTTGTGTTCTAACTAGGGCATAACACAGCCCTACCTAGGCAGCAGATACTACACACCTTCCCATGAATGTGTAGTCAGCATTACTTCTCCTTTCATAGCTACAAGCACTGAGGGAGCGCGCTTGTATGCTTACGTACTTGCACGATGGGAAATTGTTCTGAGGTATTTCTGGCACTGGAATAAATATTACACAGGGTCAGTCATGCAGCAATCAGGTTTAATTTGGATCCAGGGACAGTGAAGCCATAAATAGAAATCTGGAGGCTCATCCCAGCCAAAAGCTTACTATGACTCTGAGAAATATGCAGTTGGAGTCATTTTGGGGGTGTGGAAAATTTGGGTGATCCCCTGTGGTTTTTACATTTGGGGAATTTCCACTGTGAGAACTGCTTCTGGGCTCTTGCTGAGACCAGGTGCTCAGAGCAGTCAGAAGCAGCAGGTGTGGGTGATGTTCACAGCTCACTCCAAAAAGACCTGAGGATCATATTTATATAATAGTGGAAAGGGAGTTGGGCTTTCTTGGTGCCTAAGTTTTCCCTTGGCCTGCCTGCCCTAAGGGGTGCTCCGCCTCCTCCCTAGCACTTCAAAACTGCTGTTAGTGTTCAATTTTACCAAGTATTTCCTGTGTAATATTAAGTTGGAAATCCTAACACCAGAGCCCACATCCAATTCAATAGACTTAAACACGTTCACCCACCACTAGACATTTGTTGTTTATGTTCTTTATAAAATGTGCCTGCAAATAAATACCTGGAAAAAAATCCATTAGGAAAATCAAAGCAGGGTTCAGGAGTGAATCGGATCCTCACCTGACAATCAACTTTGTTAAGCCCACAGCTCAGGAGAGTGCCTTGTACCTCATAATCATAGCATTCCTCATCCAGATTATTCCCCAAGTATATGTACATTTATTTGAAAAATTAATCAAAATTTGAGTGGAAGGTAGTTTGACAATGTCACTATGTTCAATGTTTATACTTTCTTACAAGAGGGACAGATCTCCCAAGAGAGTTTATATTTTCTCATTGCCCCAAAGATTTTGCTATCACACCTGACAGACAACTTCATTAACAACCATCTTCCTCTGCATCTATCTAGCTTGAGAAGAAAAAACATATAGATGAACAATCCATGAAAGTAATTCATGAAAATGCTTTTTAGGAAAGTTGAGATTATTAAAATGTGATATGGAACTGGGAGTTAGATCTGGGAGAAAAAAGCTATTATCTTGGTTCTGACATTAACTCTTTGGCTTCATGCAGGTAACTTCTTATCTAGGTCCTCAGTGAAGAGTTTGGATTATCCCATTTCTTTCTCTCTCTCTTAACATTCTTTAACACTGGTGTAATATACATTTCTTTAGCCTTAGGCCAGATTTTGACCACAGACCCTTCTCCAAGGAGGTCAGACAAAGGTAACAAATTCTGAGACAGCAGGAATTGTTTTTGGCATGTCCAATGAACCTCTCAAAAAGGCAAGAGTCCTCCAATTCAGCTACCTTCTTATTGATTTAAATATCATTCCCTATCTTTTCTATTTTCTATGTTGCTCCAGCACCTCCCTCCAACCAGGAGAAAAAAAAAAAAAAAGATGAAAGTAAAGAAAACCCTGTTTTCTTCCTCCTTAGTTCTTGGAAAAGAGCATGTAATCACTTCTTCTTCTTTGACTGTATCATGTCACCTGTAAAAAAAGGAACAGAATGAGACCTCAGACTTGAGGCTTTCTCTAATTGGTATTTTGGTGTGGGTAGACATTCACTCAGACTTGGGGTAGTGGAAAGGTAAGAAAACTTTACAAGGCAGGAAGATGAACCTTAGGGAATTCAGAAAGAGCACCATCGGTGCTGGTCCACTCACACCTAGCCAGTTGACCAAAGACATTTACCTCTATATCTCTACATATCTAATAGGAGCCACTGTTTGTGGTTGCCTTTGCCATTTGTTTGTAGGTTACACCACTTGCCACAAACTGTTCATACTTTGCAGATGGAGACAAAATAACCATACCAAATTAGAGAGAAAATTGAAGAGTGGACAGTCACCTAAATAGGGGTCCTCCATGATCTCTGACCAAATTAACTTACTGGTCTGGGAAGAAAAGTACAGACATATTTATCAGTTTTCAGTCAATTCATTAGAGGGTCTTTATGCTATTGAAATTATAGCATTAGCTATTAGAATGATTTCTATTCAGTCAACAAGTTGGTGCCTCCACATTTAATGATCATCAATTTTTGCAAAAGCTTTGAAATTTCTAGAACTTCATTAACTCATGATCTTTCCTATCTGTTGTCAAATGATATCAATCCTATCTTGAAAATTTCTCAACTCAGCCTTTCGCCTCCATTCTAGAAGTTAGTCAGTGCTGAGTCAGAATTACCACAGGAAATTCATGCTCCTAATTCCACGTTTACCCCTCCCAGCCCTGCCCCTGCATCAGTACATCCTTAGCAGCAAACATTAAATATATTCTATGAATTTTTAAATAGAATTCCCCTTCTCAAAGGCTCTAGTGACTGGTGATTTGAGGTATTAGTTTTGACCCCTCATCACACTGATTTTCTGGAACAGCAAACTCCTGATAGCACAGCCCTATTGCCATCCTTTATTCATATTTCTCAGCTATTTTAAGGACTGTCCTCTCCTTTCTCCTACTCTTCATTCATGAAGAATACCTTTATGAACTTATGCAGCTCTACAGACTTCATGCTTTTTCTGCTTATTTTTCATTTCTGTTGTTAGTTAACTTCTCCCCAGTTAGTTATTCTCTATGTTAAGTCTCCAAGAAAAGCATAGCACCTTCTCATTTTGAAAAATGCACTTTGACCCTTTTATGAATACTCTTTCAGCTAAATAACACTTTAACTTCCTCATGTTCAGAAGCCTTTTCAATGTAAACTTCTCAAACTTGTTCCCATGCACTCACTGGGAGGGCTCCTAAAACTTTCTTTACTCATGTTGTTTCCAAATCCAACTCCTTGAGTCTGTCACCACAACCTTACCCCTTCAACCCCAGGTGCCAAGGATCAGAAATTCCACTTCAAAAACACAATAGAACATGAAGACATACAGAGAGAAGCAGCTCAGGAGCAGAAATGGTGATGGGAAGTTCCTTTGGGGGAGAAGAGCAGGTGGCTCCTTCATGAGATCAGAGTCTCCCACATCTGATACTCAGCAGCTAGAGGGAACACTAAGAGATTCTCACATATCCTTTGGTGGAGAAGGCACCATCCCCACATGTCTGTTTATGTGCAAATCCAACAGTCATTTCATTCTGTAGAAACTTCTGGTGTTAATATCACAGAAATCTCATTCTTCTTTTTGTTTCCAGCAGGTCCTGAATCTCATAGAGCTAAGCAGTCTCTGAGCTTCTTTTAGTTTTAGGAGGTTTTCTCAGACCATGTTACTACATAGCTGGAGGTCAGTGAACGGCTGACTATTATCCAAACAAAATTCACAAGAAAGATTTCAGACTTTGAATAGGAAATAATGTGTTTGTTTTTTTTTTTTTAAATCACTTTTCTTCATTGAGGGGAATTTTTCCATTGGGATGCCTCCTCATTAGTGATTAAGGAGTTAGGTCCACGCTGACTTATTTTAGTCCTTTCTTTATTCTCTGTTAGACAGTAGCAAGGAATAGAGGTATTTCAGGCCAGATATTTAATGTTTGCCTTGTGCAAGAGTCAAACATTTTCTGCAAGAGGAAACATACTCTTAATCAGTATCACTGTGGATACCACATGCAATTACATATCTTATTATCTAATAGTCAGAAAACAAGATAGTAAGAACATACTACTCTGAGAGACTTGCACCCATGTATTGATAACAGCTTCTGCTACAGTTTGAAGTGAGAATGTAAAGAACTTTTGCCTAGTTTCAGTGTGTGGCGTGACAAAGGGTGAGAAAGCGGATAGCTGGGAGGATATGATGTGTTAGAGGAATGAGTTTTGACCACTGATGAGTACATACAAGTCACAGTGCAGAAGTGATAAGAAGTAGTTATTTCAGAGGGCTTGCTGGAGATATCTTTAATCCATTTGAGATTTATTGTTGTGCATGGAGTTAGTGATCCAACTTCTTTCTTTTACATGTAGCTTTCCAGTTTTTCCAGGACCATTCATTAGAAAGTCTTCTTTCCTCATTGTGTGACTGTGGCTGGTTTATCTTGAATTCAGTATTGATATGCACATGGATTTATTTCTGGGCCTTCAATTCTGTTCTATTGACTAGTGACTATTTTTATGCCACATTGGTTTTAGGACTGTTGCTTTATAGTAAAATTTAAAGTCAGGAAATGTGAGGTTTCCATTTCTCTCCTTTTTCCCCTCAGAATTGCTTCTGCTATTTGAGGTCTTTTGTGGTTCCATATACATTTTAATGTTTTTATCCAATTTCATTGAAGAACATTGTTAGTATTTTGATGATAGTTGTGTTAAATTCATTGATCAATTGAGGCAGGACAGTCATTTTGATTTTGTTGATTCTCCCCATCTATCAGCATGGAATGTCTTTCAATCTCCTTATATCGTTATTAAATTCTTTTTTTTAAATATTTATTTATGCATACAAGAACTGGTGTCTAAGCCAGAGGTTGTGGGGGGTGAGAGGATTCACCAGAGACAGAGTAGGGAACAGAACAGGCAGATCCACTGAAATACACTGCTGAGGGGAGCAGCAGGAGAGTCAGGAGGGGTCTGCTGCGCCACACCACGTGGGTAGCTCCCTGGCTGGCTGGGGATCGAACTCATGCTGCAGAGGTTGGCGATAGTTTAATGATACTATCTTTAACCCCTATGACACCAGGGAGGCACATGTTATCTAATTTCTTTAATACCATCTTGTAATTCTTGTTGAAGTTCACCTCTGTGGTTAGGTTAATTCTAAGATATTTGATTCTTTTTGAAAAGGTTATGAATGGAATTATTTCCTTAGTTTCTTTTTCTTCTCACTTGTTTGTATAAAAATGCCACAGCATAGAAAGAACAGTCAGATATTCTTCTGTCTGCACATAATGGATCTGTCTGATCCATTGTGTAAGTTAATGGAAATGGGGAATTCAAAGATGGATATGATATACTCTTGCCCCTTAAGAAACTCAGTTTAATGTGAGAACATTTCTGGGAAGACTTCCTTGAAGAGGTGAGTTGAAATGAACACTGGGGGTATGAGAGACAGCAGCCCATAGAGCTGAGAAACACCATCAGTGTGTAGGGAGAAGGAACAGAGGACCTAAGGGAGGGACTGGGTCAAAAGGACCCTCATGTGTCATTCCATGGGCTTGAATTTTCATGTGTAATTGGAGGAATGTGTTTTAAGGAGAACTGGAAATAGGAAAAGTGTTTGCATAGAAAACTTTTTAGTTTTAGAAAACTGAAATGTGTTCACGGCTTCTGGAATTTTAAGTGATCAAATTATTTTAATTTTTATTTAAGCACTTGCAATTAATATCTATTCAGAATGTAACACATTTATGATCCTATTCTGATGCTGTTATGGAACTTTTAAGGAGTCAAAAATCTTGAGTAAGGACGGGGCCTCCCTGGGGTGCAAGGGATTAAGTCTCAGCACTATCAAGCTATCAAGCTATCAAATTATCAAGCTATCACCAGGCTCTGTAGCATGAGTTCAATCCCTGGGCAGGGAGCTAACCCATGTGGCACAGCAGACCTCTCCTGTCTGGCCTGTTCTGCTCCCCCTTCTGTCTCTGATGAATCCTCTCACCCCCTACACCTCTGGCCTACACCCCAGTTGCAATGTGCATAAATAAATAAATAAATATACAAAATATCTTGAGAAAGTAGAAAGACTTTTAACCATCTAAGTAATCTCTCTCACATAAATATTCCCTGAAGAAAAATGTAAGTAAAAATCCACATTTTGGGGCCTCTCCTGGTGGCGCAGTGGTTGAGTGCTGGGCTGGGAAGCTGCCTGCAGCCTCTGTAGCACTGGTTCGATCCCCGGCCACCAGCGAGGGTCCCACATGGCGTGATAGACCTCTTCTGCCGTGCCCACTGCTCCCTCAGCAGTGCATTTCATCACTGCCTGTTCTGTTCCCTGCTGTGGCTCCAGTGAATTCTCTCACCTTCCCATGTTTCTGACTGTACCCAGTGCTTGTATAAATAAATAAATAAATCTTTAAAAAAAATCCACATTTTGATGTTGGCCTAGTTGCTTATTGGGACCTAATTATAGAAAAAATTGGCTATATTAGACAAAATAAGAGCTTTATATTAAAAATAGTGCTTTCATAACATTAAATACAGTAAAATTTGTTTTTTTAATTCAATGAATGTTTAAAATTCACTGTACTATTTAAAAATAATCGTTTAAATACGATTGGTTCTAACAGTTATTGCTAACTTCTGAGTAATTGAGCTTTTCTCTACATCTTATATTTGCCAGATTTCAAATAAATTAGTTTCATCCACCCCTTTTTCCTTTTTAAAATACAGATTTGGGGAAGGCATAAAAAGTATTTACTCAGTTTCAAGGAGCCAAAACTAGTTAGATTTAGATATCAACACTTTTTTCTACTGAATAATTTCCTGTGATTTGGAATCCTGATTTTTGGATAATTTTTAGTATTTGATTTTTTAATTGTTGCTTTCAAGAAAGATATTGCCTTTGAGACTTTATTAACTAGTTAAATTCTCCAAGAGTAAAAATCGTATGATTTGCATCCTTATTTCTCTAGGGTCTCAGTCTCCTTTCAGAAACATACACTCTTGTACTGAACCTTCTGAAACTGTGATTTTTTTCCCTTTTCGCATACACAGGCTTATGTTTTCACACCAGTTCATAGATTGGGTGGAAGATGTCACTTCTGCCATTTCTATTTTGATAGAACAGAATGGCATGTGGGTGTGTGATGTGGGGGACTGTATGTGACTCTTGCCTTCCTTACATACAAAATCAGGGTAGAGTTCCAGCACTGCTCCTTGGGAAAGGAAAAAAAATCTTGAGTGTTTTACAACCTGAATATTTTGTGGTTTATTTCCCATAAACTAATATTCTGGGTGTAGAGGCATTGGGAAAGGAGAAGTAAGAAGAATAAAATCTTCCATTTTAGTATCAACTAAGCTAAGATTATTTTTCTCTTACGAAAAAGCAACATTGTTCTATCCACCTATAATTAGAAAGCTTAGCTTAGCTTACTGACTTTTTTACATTGCCCAAGATCTTATCTAAATGAGAATTCTAACATCAAGAACAGGTTGTGATTTTATCTGGTAAATATTTTACTAAAGATTGAGTAGTAACTTAACAAGGCACTCCTAAGGTCGGAACAGTTAAGAGGGTCATCTGGACCCATATACTTCAAAAAGAAAGCCTGGACATTTTTAATAGCACATTTCCCACAAAGCCTCACCTAAGGAAAGGGGACCCTGAACCCATTTCTTCATGCTGGGAATGGTGACACCTTGCCCTCTGGGGTCTAAGCTCTCTAAACAAGATTTATTTTTAACTTTAAAATTAGATGAGACATTGTTTGGGGAAGAGGATATTTGATGGGTCCTTTGAGAAAGCACTAACACCCCCAGGCCTTCTGTTACCTACTTTGCTAGGACCTGTCTTGAGTTCTTTGGAGCAAGGCATTAAGTCTCACTACTTTTTTTGGGCTTGTTTCCACTTCTGTTTCCAGGAGGAGGGGATAGAGCATAAGGAAAAGTGTTTCTGTAGCTAAAAGAGGAACTGACCCCATTTCCAGTGGTTGAGCTTCTCTCCAAGTAGGTAAATACTGACACCACAGATGTAGCTGAGAAAGAAGAAGGCTGCCAAGCCCACTGGACTGAGTTTATCAAACACCGGATACACCCAGGTCCCTGTCTCAGAGTAGATCCACAGGACCCTGCAGAAAGTGACAAATCACAATGATTAAGACAGCAAGGGGGAAATGTCTTTTTCAACTCGAGGACAATGGAGTTTTGAAGCCCAGACAGATAAAAAGAAGCCATGGGGGACATCTGAAGTGTTCTATAGATCCACAGAAAGTCTTTTCTAGATAAATAGACTTGATCCAAGGAGACATCTTGTTCCTTGGACTAGGTTTAGCTATTTTACCTCTCCATTAAAATTCAGTGCTGGTGGGAAAAAATATGGGGGAGGGGGGCGTTGGCTACATCACTGGCTAAAGACAGCGTGTAACATGATTTTTTCCCTTTCTCTGAGAGATATGATCTATTGAGACACTGAACCAGCTAAGATGACTTCTGTCAGAAAAGCGGGGTTAATCTTCTTTGTACCTAAGAATCAAGGGTGACTTTTCATTAGTTTCCCAACTCTGTCAGGCAGGACAGGAAGAGATCAAGCACTATTGCTCTAATAAAATATGCCTGAGGCTTAAATGTTGGTCCTGATTTCAGCTCATGAATTGAATGTTAAATAGAAAATGGATGAATTTACAAGAGGCTCAGATTTTGCCTCATTTCTATAAGACAATAGAAAGAAAATAAATGTTAGGAGTGAAGCCTGAAACTGCAATTTGCTGTAAACTAACTGCACCAGAAGAAGACAAGGTCTGAAATAACTTTTAAATTAACTATGGGGAAGATGTGTCAGTTACAGTTTATAATTGGAAAAAGTATAGACTCTGGAACCAGACCTTTGTGATTCAAATTCTGTTCTGCCACCTATTAGATTTGTTACCAATTTAATCAACTTTTTTGTCCCTCCACTTTCCTGTATAAAGTGGGAGTGCAAATATTATACACCTTGCATAAATCCATTGTAAGGATTAAGGGCTTTAACACATACATTTCACAGAATGATGTCTTCACATTGTAACCATTAAATGAATTTAAAGTTTCCACCTCTGAGGGATGGCACAGTAGGAGGCTTCTTGGCTATTCTTTTGTATCAATTAAGATGGACAAGATTATGCTTCAGAAATAATGTTCAAATTTGGATATCCCAGGCTGTCCAAGGCGTTCAGATGGGAGAATAAAATTCAGGTTAATTGAACTTTCTTGATTATTTCAAATATTCTAAGTTTGGCAAATGCTTTTTGGAAGAGACTAAGGTTCAAAGCTAAGGTGAGGCAAGGGAAACACTATGGAATACAATTTAAGGAGCATATCTGTGTATTGACAGAGTGAAAGGAACCTATGGCATGAGAACAAATATTTACACATCACATATAAGAGATTATAACACAAAATATATAAGGAAATTCCAAAACTCAATAACAACAAACAGCCCAATTAAAAATGGACAAAGGGGTCCTCCCTGGTAGCCTAGGTATTAAGTCTCAGCACTATCGCTGCCACGGCCTGAGTTCGAGCCCCTGCCAAGGTGCAACAGACCTCTCCTGTGTCACCTGCTGCTCTGCTCAGCAGTGTATTTCAGTAGATCCTCCTGTCTGCTCCCCATTCTGTCGCTGGTGAATTCTTGCACCCCCACACCTCTAGCATATACTCCGGTCCTTTATGCAAAAGTAATAAATAATTAAAAAAATTAAAATAGTAAATTAATAAAAAAAATAATAAAATCTTTAAAAAATGGACAAAGGACTTGAACAGACATTTCTCCAACGGCATTTTGGAGACAAATGGGAAACAAACAGGGACTTCCCTGGTGGTGCAAGGGGTTAAGTCAGCACTATGAAGCTATCACCAGCCACTGTAGCACAAGTTCAAACCCTGGCCAGGGAGGTGACCCACATGACACAGCAGACCTCTCCTGTCTCACCTGCTGCTCCCCTCAGCAGTGTATTTCAGTTAATCTGCATGTTCTGCTCCCCACCCTGTCTCTGGTGAATCCTCTCACCACACCCCCCCACCTCTGGCCTATACCCCAGCTCTTGTATGTATAAATAAATACACATTTTTTAAAAAATATTTATTTATTTATATATATAAGCACTGGGTACAGTCAGAAGCGCGGGAGGGTGAGAGAATTTGCCAGAGTCAGAGTGGAGAGCAGAGCAGGCAGACTGATGAAGTACACTGCTGAGGGGAGCAGCAGGCAGCAGGAGAGGTCTGCGCGCCATGTGGGACCCTCACTGGACAACCAGGGATGGAACCGGTGGTGCAGAAGCTGCAGGCAGCTTCGCAACCCAGCGCTCAACCACTGCGCCACTGGGGAGGCCCAATAAATACATCTTTTTAAAAAAATGGGCAACAAACATGAAAAAATAATCAGTGTCATTAATTGTTAGGGAAATGCAAATCAAAACTAAAATGAGATATTACTTCAAACCCACTTGTATGACTATAAGCAAAAAAATAAATAAAAACAGAAAATATGGTGTTGGAGATGATTTGGAAAAATCAGAATCCTGCTGCATGGCTGGTAAAGTAACATGGTGTAATTGCTATAGAGAGCTATGTTAGTTCTTCAAAAAATATAAAATAAAATAAACAATAGCATTGCCATATAATCCAGCAACCCCACTTCTCAGTAGAGACCCCAAAGAGTTGAAAGCTAGGACTCAAAGAGAGCTATCTACCCATGTTCATAAAAGCCCTGTCAACAATATCAAAAGCGTAGAAGCAACCCGTGTCTATCTATGGATAAATGCATTACAAAATGTGGAATATAAAATAGAATATCACCATTCAGTCTTAAAAAGGAAGGAGAGGAGATGCTGATACATGCCACAGCCTGATTAAACCTTGAAGATACTATGTTAAGTATAAAAAAAAACCATAAAATAACAAATGTTATTATTATTTCATTTTTTCACTTATATCCACTTATAAGTGAATATATGGATGGATATATCCACTTATATCCATCCAATTCAAAGCAGAATAAATGGGTGTGGGGGGTGGGGGAAATTGGAGTTACTGTTTAATGGGCACAGGATTTCAGTCTGGGGAGGGAAAGCGTTCTGGGGTTAGATGGTGGGGATGACTGCACACCAATGTGACTGGGCTAGGTGCCGCAGAGTATATTTTTAAAAAGATTAAAATGGAAAATTTCATGTTATGTTTATTCTACCACAATAAAAAAATTAAAGCCTCAGGTCTACAAATGTGGACTTAGCAACTTGGCCCCTGGCCTGGCCTGCTGGTGTCACGCTGTTCTCCCAAGGTCGTCTTGATGTCCCTTTAATGTAATCAACACTTTACCAGATCACAACCAAAAGATTATATCATTATTTACTCTCTGAGGCATGTGTCCTTTAGAAGCATTTTGCAGCACTTCTTTCTGCATGGCTACTCCTCATGACATAGCAGAACAGGTATAAGGGGCAGAAAGTAAATATCCCAGGTGGCTAGAGTTTGGGGTCAGGGAGGAGATTTGAATACACTCCAAACATTGCATTAATTAGTTCACTTTGCTTACTTCATATATTTGAAACTAGGGCTTCCTTGCGCTCATGCACATTTATATAAGATAGTCTACAAATAAGGACATTGCCCTAGAGACCTGGAAAGTTTCTATTTATTTACTTATTTTTTGCCTCTCACAGCATAAGTTTTGTAAAGGAAGGCTCCTGGGGTAAGATAATGAAGTCTTCACGTTCACGGAGAAATCGTGAAAGTTATAGGTGCGTTAACTGATAGTGGGCACAGCAATGAAAATAGAGCATCAGACAAGATTGTAGTCATTTAATAAAGGGTGGTCAGCAGAGAGACTGAACAAGGAGATAGGCACAGTAAGTTGGTATCACTTCCTTTTGAGCTTCCCAAATGATAATGAATATTATGTTGAAAGGATCAAGGCAGGGGGAGGGAGGCAGGTAAGAAGGGGGGGAGGAAAAGGAGAAGAGGAGAGAAGGGATGAAGAAGGAGGGTACTCTGCACTCAGCATGTTTGGTATAGATCTCAGTCAGTGTCAACTTGGCAGTCACCCTGTCCCCAAGTAGGATCCAATGAAATCATATCTAAATGTCTCTCTTATGCATACACATCACTCTAGGCATCACAGGCCACCAGTAATCCAAGTAGTCTTTCTATGAATGAAATGTATTCATGGTGCTCTTTGGCTTCCCTGTATTTGCACTGCTTTAGGAGAATATCTAAGCCCAATCCAGCCTGCCTGGCCTGCCCTGCTCACTGCTCACCTGCCCACCTGTCTACCTATCCACCCTCAGATCGGCGGTCCATCCATATTGGACCTCTTTCTGGCTCTTAAATGAACCAAGCTCTGCAGCTTTTGGACCTTCAGCCTTGCTGTTGTCTCTACTTAGAACACCTCTGGTCTTTCACTTCCTGGGACACACTTCTCTTTGCACTGTGCCTGGCTAAATCACACTCATGCTTCAAGTCACTGCTTAAAAGACCATTTCTCTAGAAAATATTTTCTCAACATTCCCCCAGTCCCATTTCAGTTAGATTCTTGTGTCCTGTGATCTCCACCACGATCTCAATAACCAACCATGTTTGGTCTCTGTGTTCTCACTAGCCTAGAAGCTCATATCTGTCATGCATTTCCCAAGTGCTGAAACACAGTAAGCTCTTGATATTTTTAAATAAATGTCTGTTTTGGGTGGATGTATCCAAATTTTTAACCATTGTAGACAATTCTCAACTGCCTGACCCATTAACACAGAAGCTTCTGGAAACTGTAAATTTATCTGGTAGCCTTTCAAATTTTAGTTGACATTCACTTTATTAATACTTTGAAGATGCCAGTTCTGGAACTGTCTGTCTTGTGAATCTATGTGAGTCAGGGTGGGTAGGCACAATGGGGTAGCCAAAATTCAATCTTTTATAGACCCCTTTTCCTAAATCTTATAGTGTCAAATGATTATTATGGAATTCAAACTTTCTGTGTCTTATCAGTAGGGAAACAGTGGATGTCTGTGGGTTAGAGATAAATATATTACTAGTTTTGTGGGCTTTGAATATAGTTCTTAAATTGCCAACACCCATATCATATATTTCTAGCCCAGAAGAATAA